AGATCTACTCTAGTCTCCAGACTCCCAATAGTCACCACACATGACCGATATATACAGTCCACAATGATAGTATCGTCACTGAAGTGGACACATGAACAAATGAAACTAGAGACTCACCGGGCATATCCAGATAATGACCAAAATACGAGGACACATATGAATAAGTGGAACCAGGGTCAAATAATACAGAGGCATCTCTGTGGCAAACTGAAACAATACCTGTAATCACAGTATCCGAAGCAATGGCATCTGGTCTGGGAGGAAGAGCATAGAAAAGGGCCTGTGGTAAAGCTGCTGGTGCTGGTGCCATCGGCCGAGTACTCTTCCGTGGAGTCCCACTCAACAACCTAGGGCAATCTCTCTTGATGTGACCAAAATCTCTGCACTCAAAACAACCCCTCCTCTAACGGAACTGCTGCTCTTGGTGCCCAGAGGAACTACCCGTGGAAACCTGAGCTGATGAGGCATGGTGAGAACTCTGCGCTGGTAGTGCACTGAACGACGATTGGCCCTACTGATGACTGTGTGACCCATGGCCAGATGATGCACCATGGTGGACTGGGCGAGCCGTCTGAGCATGTCTGAAAGGACGACCCCTACCGTGGTGGAACTGCCCCCAAACTGGACATCGCCAAATCCACCCTGTCCACGAGGCCTCTTGTCCTCCCTCTCAACTTGCTCCTGGCTGCGAACCATCTCAATATGATGAGCAATGTCGACAACCTCATCGAAAGTAGCACCATACACTCTCTCTCTAGTCATAAGCAATCGCAGCTGAAAAGTGAGGCCATCTATGAACCTCCTGATCCTCTCCCTCTCTGTGGGATCCAAGCAGATAGCATGACGGGTCAACTCCGAGAATCGCATCTCATACTGCTTCACAGACATATTACCCTGATGAAGCTGCTCAAACTGCTTGCGCAACTCCTCCCTATGGGACTGAGGCACGAACTTCTCCAGGAATAGACCGGAGAACTGCTGCCATGTAAGGGGTGCTGCGCCGACCGGCCTACGCCTCTCATTAGCCTCCCACCAACTATAGGCAGTCCCATAGAACTGAAATGTAGTGAACGAGACCCCATAGGTCTCTAGAATACCTACTGTACGGAATATCCTCTAACACCTGTCCAAGAAGCCCTGTGCATCCTCTCCTCCCTCGGTACTACTGAAAGATGGAGGCTGGAGTCTCCCAAACCACTCCAATCAACGCTACTCATCATCAGGCATGACAGGTACCACATAATCCGGAGCAGTTGTAACCGGTTGGGCTGGTGGTAACCCCGGTGTCTGGAATCCCTGTACCACCTGCTCTGGTGTGCTGGCGACGGGAGTTTGAGCACCTCCCTCGGTCTGAGAAGTAGTTGCTGTGGCCGGAATAGAGACTGCTTGAGCAAGACTGGTACACACGGTCAGAATCTGAGCTAAGGCCTCCTGAAGGCCTGGAATCACAATAGGCACACGTGGTGCCTGAGCTGATGCATCAACAATTGGAATCTAGTCCTGATCTAGGGCAACTGGTGGATCTAGAGGTACTGCCCCAACTGCTGTGCGGGCTGCACCTCTATCCCTACCGCGGCCTCTACCGCGGCCTCGGCATCTCGAGGCACTGGTTGGTGGTACTGGTGGCTATCCATCCTGCCCGGTAGTACGAGTCCTCACCATCTGTGAGAGAATGAAACAACATATGTTTAGTTACTAGAATCAACAGATTCGCACGACATGAATTCAAGAATGTGAAGTTTCCTAAGAGTTCGGCAGCCTCTCGAAGATAAATACAGACGTCTCCGTACCGATCCGCAAAACTCTACTAAACCTGCTTATGACTCGTGAGACCTATGTAACCTAGGCTCTGATATCAACTTGTCACGACCCAAAACCTAACCCGTCGTGATGGCGCCTATCGTGATACTAGGCAAGCCGACATTTCCAAAACACTTTCAACATTTAACAGAAATGAATTAAGACATTTAAAATAATCGGAGTTTTTCATAAAAATGGGGTAAAACCCAAAACATAAGTGTAGAAAATAGCCCGACATCGGGGTATCACTGAATCATGAGCATCTAGCTATCCAGTTTAATACAAACAATGCTTGAGTATCAATACTGAAAAGAAAGAAAACATAGAAGGAGAGACAAGGTCTGCGGACGGCGGCAACTACCTCATAGTCTCCGGTACTCGATCGCGTAAGAAATCAACGACCTCCGCGATCAAACACACCTGGATCTGCACATGAAGTGCAGGATGTAGCATGAGTACAACTAACTCAGCAAGTAAAAAAAATAAATAACGAACTGAGAAGGTAGTGACGAGCTATACAAATACAGTTCATTTTCAATAATTCCAGCAAAGAATAAACATGCTTTCAAATCTGGTAGTTCAAGTGAAATCAATTTATACAGTTATAGTGCAAGTAATTCGGATATAAAATCTTTCAGAAATTTCACAACAATGACAGTTAGAAATTAAGTGCATCAACAAATGGAAAACAAGTACAGCCTCTCAGGGCAACAAACACTCAACTCGTCACAATAGCTTAATCACTCGGCTCTCAGCCCTTAGTACTCACACTCAATAGGTACGTGCGCTCACTGAGGGTATGCAGACTCCGGAGGGGCTCCTTTCAGCCTAAGCGCTATTTTCGCACGGATAACTCACGTGCTATAATATCAATATGTGGAAACGCACAGACACCTCACGTGCTTCACGGACAACTCACGTGCCATAGTATCAATACCTCACAGACAGGCCCTCGGCCTCATTCAGTCATCAACCTCTCTAGTCTCTCGGGCTCTCGGAAATCACAAAGATCGGCCCAAACAAAGATAACATAGTGTATCAACAAAAATCAAGAAGAGGCTGAGATATGATACGCAAGTAAAACCATGACTGAGAACAAGACAATAATTAGCAAGTAATTCAACAAGTACGCGACCTCTGCGGGTCCCAACAGTACCATCACATAGCCTAAGCATAATTTCTAACATGATTTGCAGTTAAATTTCTATAACACAGGGAGAGCATATAGCTAGCAAAAAGTTATTCAACTTTACAGTTTCACGGAATGGACCAAATCCCAATTCCTACGGTGTACGCCCACACGCCTGTTACCTATCATGTGCGTCACCTCCAAAAATACTCACATAATCCAATAATCCAGGGTTTCATACTCTCAGGACCAGATTTAAAACTGCTACTTACCTCAAACCGCACAAAATTTTACTCTGCAATGCCTTTATCCCTCGAATCAATCTCCAAATGCCCCGAATCTAGCCACAAGTAGAACAATACAATCCATATAGGCTAAAGGGATCAATTGCACCAGAAAAGTACTAAATTACAGCCAAATATCCGAAATTGGCCCGAACCCGGCCCCCAGGCCCACGCCTCGAAATCCGACAAAAGTCACAAAATCTGAAAACCCATTCACTCACTAGTCCAACCACACCAAATTTATCCAAATCCGATGTCAGAATCCCAATCAAAATCCAAAATCTTGGTTGAAGAATTTCTTTCCAATTTTTTAAACCCAAACCCAAAATTTAATGATGAAACTAATGATAGATTAATGGGATATAATCAAAATCAAGTGTAGAATTATTACCCAGTCGATATCTCTGAAAATCCCTCGAAATCTCGTCCAAATTCGAGCTCTCAAACTCAAGTTTTGATAAAAAGGGCCAAACCCTCGTTTTTGAATCTTTATATCTGCCCAGTTGATTCCTTCTTCGCGAATGTGGTCAAAGCCTCGCGTTCGCATTGAACAAAAAACTGTTGACCAAAATTCCTCTTTCGCGAACGCGGGTGACCTCTCGCGAACGCGGGTGACCTCTCGCGAATGCGTACGTTTCACTGGCGGACCCTACACGAACGCGGGACCCTCTTCGCGAACGCGTATGCTTAAATGCCTGAAGCTCTATCTGCCTGTTCCTCTCCGCGAACGCGTGGACCATGTCGCGAACGCGTTGCCTTAGGGTTCCACATCTTCGCGAACGCGGGAACCACATCGCGAACGCGAAGAGTAACTCAGCTGACCTTCCCAGATGCCTTATGAGAACACGATAACTCCCTCGCGAACGCGATGAAGAAAATGTGTGCAACAAAACACTACAGACCTCAAATTCACAGTCCGGACTCGCTCCTAAGTCCGAAATTACCCAACGGAGCTAACGGAACCGACAAAACTCCATTCCAGAGTCATCTTCACACACTTCCAACTACGGTCAAAAATTCCGAGACTTAAGCTTCTGTTTTAGGGACTAAGTGTCCCAAAATACTCTAAAATAAAAAATAAGACCTCCCGGTAAGTCACATAAGCAGAAACAGATACGGAAAAAATAATAAATAGGAAATCAGGGCTAGTACGCTCAAAACGACCGGCCCGGTCGTTACATTATGGGTTCGAGATTGTAATCATTTTAAGGTACTGAATTTTAAATTTATAATTTGCACGTGTTCAATAAATTTTTAAAGACACATACATAGTTTGAATCAAAGTTATTGGGTTCTGCCGAACCCGTAACAGGCACTACAGCTCCGACTCGGCTCTAAGAGCCCGTTTGGACATAAGAAAATTTTCACTTTTTTTCGAAAAATTTTCAGTTTCTTTCCTCATAAATTTTCCAATTTTCACTTGAAGATGCATTTTGAAATTTTTCGAAAATTTGAAAAACTCCAAAAAGTTATTTTTCAAAATTTTCACTCAGATCACTCACAAAACTTAAAAAACAACCCAAAATTATATTCATGTCCAAACACAACTCTAATTTTAAAATATCATTTTTACTTGAAAATATTTTTCATCTTTTTTTGGAATTTTACAATTCTTATGTCCAAACGCCCACTTAACACACAACAATATGGAGTATTAAATTGTATAACCTGATAGTGTAAAAGTTATTTAGATTATCCGTGTATATAAGGTGAAATATTTTTTTGTAACTTTAGTTTTATTTGTAACCACTTTGTAACAATTCTCTTACAAAAGTTTTGGTACGTAGTGGGCTAGGTACATTTCTAATGGTTCACCAAACGGGACCTTGTCCGAGAGCAACACGAATGTACGAGTTCTTTCTAATTCCTTTTTGTTTTGTTATCAGTTAATAATTTTTCTTTTTCGGTGAAAGAATTAACTTAAATAGTCGCATAGTCAAGCGCTTAAATTTTAAATAGCCAACGAATATATAATATNTTCTCATATACATATATATCTAACGAGAAACATTAATTGTTTTTTTTTTGTGTGCATAGATTTAGATGCTGAATTGAAGCAAACTTTGGGACTATATATGTAATGATGTTTTACATTTACTTGGGAAAAACTTGTAGGATGTTTAAGTTTGTTGCACTTGTCTTCAACCTTCTTACCCTGATTAGTGTTAGTTTCTATCTATTTGCTATTTTCGAATTTTAGTAAAAGCAAAGTATCTATCCTATGCTATTTTATATCTAGTGCTTACTTATTTAACATCTTCCTCAATTTAAAATTTTAGTATATTACTAATCTCAAAGCCTCTTTTTCTTTTGAATTGCACTTGCATTAAAATAATTATGAATTACATCTTGTTTGTCTATAATCTGATTCCGTCTAAAGTCTTGCATAAAATGTCTATGTATTAAAATTCCAAAATTCTAATAGAATCTCAACATCATATATGGAAGACAAAATAAGAATGTTTTAAGAGAAATTTAATAACAGCTAGTGGGACCTCTCAAGAAGCAGAGTTTTCCAAAGTCAATTTGTTGACTGTTCCCTTTGTAAAACTTTAAATGCCCCATTAATAAAAATGTGAACGTACTACACTATTTTTTTCTTATATTTCGTATTTATTATAGATACTGTGAGTCTGTGATATCACTTTGATCCAGAACCTATATTTAGGGCAGCGAAGTATAATAACTTGGAAAAAGAAATAGGTTTCTTCGGTTCCAACAACCCCCGTTAAAATATAGAATCTTTATTCAAATAATCGGCCAGATTTATTGTTTCATTTTCCTAGCCAATAAACATAAATTATACCTGATGATAAATGAATATACATATACTGTACATGAATTATGCATATATATACATCTATTGGCTATTTCTAGTTTAAATGGTTACATAGGCGACTATTTAGGTTAATTCTTCGAGCTTTTTTCACTTTTAACCCGCGCCAAAAACTATTTACATTCGGTAGCCAGCATAAGTGTATAAAATTTGTATAATTTTTATATATAACATACATAATGTATATATATACAAAAGTATACAATACATTTTTCGGCTATTATTTTAAGAGCGGTACAATATCATTTTCCCAAAAATAATATTCATGGAATGGAAATTAGCACTCATAGACCCAGCACACAAATGCTCAATGCTCAATCCCACTTTATGAAATTCTAATTTTTATCATTGTTTATTAAAAAAAAATTAACTAATCACAAATTTTATTCCCAAAATTTTGTTTTTTTAAAAAAACAAAATCATCCACTTGAATATTGAACAATTTTTCACATCTTACTAGAATGATACTACATGATGGGAGCAGCAGGCCTATTTTTGCAACCAAATGGAATGTTGCAAAACCAAGAATTGAGGGACCACTTCCTCTTCCTTCCTTCCTTCTTTATTTATCAAGGACCACAACAAAAACACACTAATCTAATGCATAAAATAACACTATACTGAACTGAAAAGCTAACCAACCAAGTTTAATTCAGCTAAAGATCACAACCCCTGTCATAAGAAACTATACTTAATCATATTCTCCATATACATTTATGCACGCCTACAACCGAAAAAAGTTATGCCAATACATAAACATAATTGCTAGAAAGGTTCTTTTCTTGCGAACATACATGTGTGCACACATGCACGGGGTACAACTTTTCTGCAGCAGAAGTCATATACTGCAAGACACAAGATTTTTTTCTAATTCCATTCGCATGGAATACTACAACAACAATCTCAATATAGTATCACAAGTGCGGTCTAGGGAGGGTAGATAGTACGCAGACCTTAACCCCTACAGTGAATGTAGAGAGGTTGTTTCAAAAAGACCTTCGGCACAAGGAAAAATGAGAAAAAAAGCAGTAGCAATAACCAATAGCGAGAACAAGATAAAATGGAATACTAAACTCCAGAATGATGCTGATGCCACACATGTATGGCAGCAAAAGTGTTGAATTGAAAAGTAGACTAAGCCATCAAAAAGGCTCATATAGTTGCTACAAACAGTCTGTACAACTTTTTCTTCTTTATATAAGAGTGGTGTTCGGACCAGATTGCATGCAATTCGACCATATTACCAGTCCTCTATGTAGAGGCTATCTCCCACCAGCCAAGTACCGACTACTAGTATAATAAGGAGTGTGAATTTGCATTAAAAGAACTGCTGATGGAAAAGTGAAGCTTTATATCTGTCATGATAAAGGCAAGTACCATTGTTTCGCTATAACTCAAGGGGGTTTTACATTTCCATCTGACATAAAAGAAATGCTATATACAAATTACACACAAGAAATGTCATCCTTCAGATACCATTTTCTTCTTAAACATCAGTATATGCTGCAAGATTCCTTGGAAATATAATACCGACTATTAAAATAAAAGAGCACTGTTTCGACGAAATGGATCTATTGAAACCGAACAGTTGATGTATGATAGGAAATAAATATAAAGGTATGGCTGGCACTTACAAAAGATATACTGATATCAATCATTTATTACTCTGCCTTTGCCTTTTGACTTGTTGGAAAGGCCACTTGTGGATTAGTTTAATCTCCTCATTATCTTTGGAATCTTCATTTCAGATGTTGACCCTTCAGGCTGCAATAAGAATGAAAAAATCAAGACAAAGTCATATACGAAAACAACAACAATTTAAATGAATATATATTTCAGACAAGGAGTTCTTATTCCTAAAAGCTTTTGCTTTTTGCTTTTGAGTTTTCTCTCTTTTCAAGAAGAAGAAAGTTGAGAAAATGAAAGATCTGAATATTGCAAAGTCACATTGGTAGCCTGCTACACTACTGTAGAGGAACACATTTTTTGTCTATTGAACTCAGAAACATTTGTTCGTGTTTTAACATAGACATACGACCTGAAGTACAAGTGTTTATTGGTTGTGGGCACTCCTTTGTCTCGCGTTTAATTTATCTATAACTTGATAACTAGCAATGATGTCAAAACATTCTTTTGAAATGTAACTTCTTGCTTAAGTTCATTTCAACTACCATAAGTTCTTGGCTTAAAGCATTCTTGACAAACAGTATGGATTTACATGAATTGACATTTTAAATCCCTGATAGAAACGAAAGAAGCGTTAAATATCAAATGGACATGTTTCCAGACCTCAAGTGGAAGCAAAAGAACTAAAGATATCATTTTCCTGCTTCACTTGAACAGAATTTTTCTCCTGTTCCACCCTTAGCAGGTGCGAAGACAACTGCACTAAATTCATGGTAGGCCCGCCTTCTGGAGAAAGGCAATTCTTGGAATTCATAGAGTTTGCTCTTTGATCATGTCCGTCTCTCTGAATTTCAGGAACATGAACTACCCCATCTTGCTCAATTGGTGTCGAGCTCTTTGCAACACTTACTCTCGGAGATTTTGCAAGATTATGATGATCGTCTTTAATGTAGGCATGATCGTTTCCTTTAACCATCCATGGGGGAGTTGGTGAAATGTCGGTTGAATTGTGTAGAAGGTTTTGTGAGTGGGCTGACAGAAGAGAGAGAGCACAAGAGGAGTTTTGCCCTGCAGAAAATTCTTGAACAGATAATAATGTTGACCCAACCGGAACTTTGGATAGATCTTGTTTTCTCACTCCGTACTGATGTTGGATGCTTTCTGCAGGGGATTGCCCCCTTGTGACTGACATAGCCAATTGAGATATGCAGAACGGCTTACGTTCTAATTTAAGGTTCTGGTTATTGTTATTCACTTCATAATTTTCTTGATAAAAGAAACTACCAGGAAGTATTTCTGGGAAAAGAAATGGAACTCTCCTTTGTGTCATATCCAAGAATCTCGAACCTGCATTTCAATAATTGGTAGAACAAACTGAGAATGCTAGAAGCTAAAAGAATGATTAGAAGCATTTAAGAATATGCTTACCAAATAAAAAAAAATTAAAAACTTAACAAAAAACTACCTTTAACTCGATATGATTGGGTAAATAGGATAAGTAGCAGAAATAAAGTTTCCAAAAACACCCAAGATGAGCAAGTCGGGTTAAGAAATAAAAGTTCTATCACGCCTTCACACGAAAACAGGATTGGGAAAAGCAACAGTATGTTTTTATATTCATAACAGGGATAGGAAAAAGGAAGAGACTTGGAATACAGAGGATGAAACGTTAGGTTGAACAAAGTTAAAACACTTTATTTGAAGAAACTAAAAGCCGAATCAAGCATAGAACTCTTACTACAACATAATCAGCAAATAAAGGATAATTAGCAGAAGGAGAAAAGGTTACCCCAGTGAGTATCAAACTGAGGCTTTCTCCGCCGCTCATTATGCCCTGCAAGGCGTTTGCGACAGCTGCGTTTACCTTCATCAAATTCTGCCAGCAAGTGAAACCTGCATTTTTAAAAGGTTACTGCAATTCTATGCTGGACTGACAGCAAGAATATTCATGCGAAATCGTAACTACTTAAGTATGACATTCAGACCCAATGCATAAAAATCAGCAAAAATATTGCCAGAGTAAACGTCAATGCTGATCACTTTTTGTTAACACCGAGAACAGTTCTCTATTTTAAGGATGATACACAGAAGAATGAATCCGGAGGATGGGCAGGTTATAATAAGTAACTCTACAAATGACAAAGAGGGACCTCTATATTTCCTAGCTTTCTAGAGGTTTTGGCAGATCATTCAAACTGAAGTTTACAGAAACAGTAAGGCATTAAATCAAGTGGAAACTATGAGGAACTAATAGTGTTTTTTCACACTGGTGTCAAAATAAGTTCTTTAAGAGCTCAGATGCTAAAACTTCATCTTCTTTTCATAGCAATGAGTGTACTCATTTAAGGCAGTTCAGTTTATTTCTTTGTCCATAGACATTACATCCATAAGATCTACCCCATGGTTTAGTTGCGTAAGCCTCGTCAAACAAATGACTTCAATACAGTAGCTGGTTTTCCCAGATCAAATGCAATACAATTTATAAAGTCAGATTAACGAAATATGTATGTGTGTTTATGTATATGTTCACGCACACACACACACACATTCAATTCTGTTTGCTAGTCAGAAACAAAGAGTG